ACGTCAACAACAACTTCAACAAGCACAACATCAACAACAACATCAACCACAACAAAAACTACAACAACATCAACAACAACAAAAACTACAACTACCTCAACAACAACAACAACTACTTCAACAACAACAACTACTTCATCAACAACAACTACGACGACGACAATAGCACCTACTACTCCGCATCTATCTGGTCCTGCTTGTTCTAAATCTTATTGTTGCGCATATGGTGTTACTTCTTGTGTTTACAATAATGTTGCCTGTCAATGTCAAGGTACTGGTGCTGGCGGTGGTGGAGGTACCTTTTTTTGTTCTGGTTGTGCTGGTTCAGGCCCTTCTACTTATTATGGTGGTGGTGTCTGTTATTATGGTGGTTATTATTATTCTACCTGTTAAAGAAAATAATTCATGATAGATCTGAACATTAATTGAACTAGCTTAACACACTATGAAAATATAAACAATCACACTAATATTATATTAACTAAATGATACAGATTGAAATAATAAATATACTGTTAGCGATCGCATTGTTCTCGCTTCTTTGTCTTTATTTGATTTTTTTTCTTCTTTTCTTTTCTTTTTCTTTTTTCTTCTTTTCTTTTCTTTTTCTTTTTTCTTCTTTTCTTTGGAAGCAGTACTTTCTTTTTCAAATATATATAATTTTTTGGCGCAATTTCTCTTACACTGAATTGAAGGAGCCATTCCACTACCTATAGAAAGCTCGCATCCTAGACCCATAAACAATTTAAATTCTAAAATATCCGTTTTTTCGTTGCTGATATAAATATTAAATCGAGTTGACCAACAAGTGAAACATACAAATATGTTTACCTTTTTGTACTATTTTGCCCAGTCGTTATTCTTGTGTTTATCCATACGGTCGACATAGATCGATGATCCTTGTCTAAATTGATGAATACCAGGTATCGGTCTGCGACAGAGTCGACCGCTAACAATGAGCACAGTGCGATTTCCTTGAGATAAACATTGAATGTATTTCTTGAATTCATTTGGATCTTTGAACATTTCAAGATTGTTGTCGCCACCGCTGCTGTCGATTATGGATAATACCATATTTGTGTGTCTATGTGCGACACACCAGTTTGAGTGTGTTGCATTGTTGCTGTTTGACCTGTTCTCACAAATGCTTTCAATCCTACGAATTACTTCTTAATTATGTTGTACTTTACCCTTTTCTTTCTTTCTTCTATCTGATAGGCGATTATATAAGTGTATGTTTTGTATGAAAACGATGCGATTCGTATGAAGAAGAAATGCTTATCTTTTTTATTTTTGTATTGCCATCTAAATATTATAGAAACGAGTACAAAAGATACTTATGAAGCGATCGAATATTATCTATCCTTTTCGTCGACAACATCTTATTGATCTATCTTTTTTGTATATACATATATTTGCTTTGCTTTGCTTAATAAAATGATTGAATAACATCTTGATGGTGTGTATGCATACAAAAAGTGTAACTATATCTATTGCATAGCTGAAGTCGGTGCTTGTGATTCTCTCGGGAATGGTATTGTCAATCGATGTGATAGTTGTAATCAATTAATTCTATCTTTACAATAGGGTGATTTTGATTTACATCAACGTTGTTCTTATTACTCAGTGTTCCACTTAATTATTTAACTATGAACATTGATTCCTTTGACTGAAAAGAGACTGATACGAAAAAAATGGAAATGCGTTTGTATGTATGTTTGTCGCCGCTCAAAGGTTAACTAAACGTTTTTCCCGTAAGTTCCGACGATCTCTTACGTCCTGAAATCCTACATCAGGGGGATTTAGGTGCGTGTATGTCATTCTTATTTTTTTATTCACACCCACGGCCTCACTCGCACTCTGGCGAGCAAGTATCCTAGAGAGCAACTGGCCATAGGAGCAAATGTCCTGCGAGCAACTAACCGTCTCCCTTTTATATGTGAAATACTGGAAAAAAAACATTCCATTTTTCTACAACATTCTATTGCAGAAACACATGTGATGACTGAACATTAAGATAAAGCAATTCGTTAATTATCAGATTTCTTTTCCTTTTATAATATTGAATGAGTATTCTGAAGGTAATTTACTTTTAAAAAGTCATTACATATATACAAAAAAACTGTTTCTTTTTCTTTTCTTCATTTGATGACGACCATTTTAATTCTATAAATGGTTAAAGAAGCTAAGGTAATATTTTCTTCTCTGTTAGTCAAATCTATTTTGCTTGTTGCCATCCTACTCGTTTTGTTTATGTATACTAGTCATGACTGTAGTTATTTTTTTCTCAAACATCTGACTAACAATCTACAACACTTTTTTTTTGTAGTGATTAAATATTAAACGAGAGAATTGGAGAAAATGAAAGGAAAGAGAAATAGAAACAGTAATGTTAGTCACTAAAATATTTCTAACAAAAAAGTTTAAAACATCAAGTCATAAAAGATGTTTTGGTTATTTTTTGTTTTACTGATATTTTCTACTGGGGATTGTATTCTTATTGGTAAAAGAGATAATAATATATTGATCGGTAATATATATAAATCATTATGGAATATAACGCAAAGTCAGTGTATATGCGAAATGATAAATTCAAATGGAATAATATCGACATTAAATTATTTTTCAATAAATCAAACTTGTCAACTATTTTATACAAATGACAGTTCGATTTTAATTGAATTTAATCTAAATTCTTCTTTGATATTTATGAATCAATCAGCAATTTACATAGCATTGAGTAAGTACATATTATAAATACTGCAAAAATATTATAGTTTTGCTTTTGAATGGCATAAACTTTCGCCATACAAATTATACTATAACAAATATACAACATATTCTCATATAAAAAATGTAAGGTTTATAAAAATATTTGAACTTATGTAAAGTTTATCAAAATGCATTCATAATCAGATACACTACTAGTAGAACGAAATTTGCAGAATTTTGGGCGAAGCATTAATCAATTATCGTATCTCTTTTTTTTAGTCTCATTTTTCTAATATAGATCAGATCACATCAACAACATCATCATCATTATCATCATCAACATCAACTACAACGTCAACAACAACAACTACCACCACAACAACGTCAAGAACTACTACTAC